AGCTTATAATTAATTTTTCTTTTGTTCAGAGTTGAAGATAAACTCACCCAATGACTTTTCAGACTGTCATTCCAAAGGTCTCTAATAGCTTTAAGATGTTAATAGCCAATTTCCTGAAGTGATTAGAAAGTGAGGCTTGTGAACTTAGTGTCCTGTAAAAGGCACCACTGTGATTGTGAGCAAGATGGATGACCCCATCATCTCTCAGTGCTCAAACCCATGGAAAACTGCTGTCCTGCAGTCTCCTTGTAAGGAGCAGCCATCCAAACCTCATATGGATGATCTCCCATCCTCTCCTTATCCTTTTGCAGAGCTGTTTTCAGTTTGCCATACCTCCCCTTCAAGTCCTCTGCAAGCAGACTTGCTTCTGTAATATCTGAAGTTGTCCTACTGGAACTCTATTAGATATGAAAAGGGAGGGTAGATATATGATGGAACATTGGCTACATCTTCAGTCCTGCCAGAGTGAGTCAAAAAAACTGTTTCTTTGACTACAAAGGGAAGGAAATACTTTGCCAATTCCAAAGATGGTATAATGTTGGTCACTTTAGAGGCAGGTTATCTTAACAAGGGGGATTGTGCACAGTCTCAATGGAACAATAGTCTTGTTAGACTTTTGTATTGCCATTCCAAAACATATCACTCTACCCATATTGTTCCCTCCAGTTTCTCTACTTGTAGAATTATTGATCTTTTTCTTCCCAAAACTCTTCTGCCACTCTCCTAGGCTGCTTATGAGTGCTGTACAGGTCACACAAAAGGAATTCTCCTGTTAAAAATATTTATACTTGTTAATAATGCTACGCAAGAATGTTATCCTGCATTTTTTCCCCTAACAAATTTGATTCAATATGATGAAAAGCATTTGCTTCTGATTTTTTTTCTGGGAGCAGGAGGCAATTTCAGCAAAATTCTAATAGCTGGAGTGTGATAGTCATGCCCTTAGTTAGCTACAAGGTGGCCAGGTATGTGTATGACTGTCCTGTCTTTTTCTCTCCAGCAGCCTGGAGCCATCTGCTTCTCCCATTTCAAATAAACCCCAAGAGAACATATTCTGCCATTGGACTTTTATAGATGGGATAAGTCAAGATGGCTTTGGATGGGATAAGAGGGTGGGAAAATCTACAGCAACAATACAGCATGCTCAAAAGCACCATCAAGAAACCTTCAAAATGTTCAA